TACTCCGAAGTACTCCGACTACAGTTCGACCCGTTCGGTTTCAAGCGTTCGAGTGCAAAACGCATGGAGTATATGACAGGTATGAAGTGTTCTAGGAGCTTCGTACTCTGCACCCGAAAGCGGCTCTGGGTTCGATCATCACAGCCGACAATGACATCGGCGAGGAAATAAAGTACCTACTTAAAACCGCAAACGAGCAGTTGTTTGCTCTTATGAACATATTTGGATCCAATAGAAGATCCATAATTAAAGTAGAGGAAAGGTGGTGTAGCATTCGCGCCAAGTACAATAATAATAAAAGGACTTTATTAAAAAATTGAAAAAAAAAACAGCATTTTTTTTATTCTGAATTTATCATTACTGTAAAGGCAGTTGCTATAAGGAAAATCACAGTAGTTATATTTTGACAGAACCAGGCTTTCACAAAGATTTTTTTAAAGTTTTAAGTCCAAAATATGTCTATTTAGATATAAGAGTTTAAAGGAACATAATGCTTTTCTACTTATATTTTTGACATGCTCAACAAATCTCAAATCTTCGTTAATTGTAGGGCCAAGACTTTTGACAGAAGTTTCGAATGGCAGCAGTATGTTATTAATTTTTACGCTGATGTTTTGCTTAATAAAATTCCGATCTTTTAGTTTTCCAAAGCATATTGCCTGTGATTTTTTGGAATTGAGTAAGAGGTTGTGTTCCTCCGATAGTTGTTGAATTTTACTTAGCTCGTTATTAATTGTATTTTCCGCTTCTGCGTAATCCGAAACTTTAAAGTGATGCCTATGCGGATGACAAGCAAATTTACGCTTGTCATCCGCATAGGCCTTTACAGAACAGAGACTTACGGAGTTGAGGATGTCGATTGTATATATAATAAACATTAGGGGTGCTAGGATAAAGCCCTGGTGGGCTCCACTTAAGATAGCAGAATTTTGAGAAGACACCCCATTGAAACTTATTTTTTGAATAACTCTCCGAAAAGTAGGACTTGATCAAAGAAACAGAGTCATAATCAAATCCATAAAACTTCAATTTTGAGCACATTAATCGATAAACTATTGTATCGAAAGCTTTTGAGAAATCCAGCAAAACAAGCACGCTAATCTCTACCAAATCCCAGGCTAACATATCATCCAGTATTTGTAGTCAAGGCGGTTGCTATGCTGAAATTTTTTCTGAAGCCGCACTGAGTGTCGGGAAGAATCTTGTTTTCAATTATATATTTGAAAATCTGATTATATAGGACACGTTCTAATATTTTGGACATAGCTGGCAACAAACTTATTATTCAAACATCGGCAAGACTCTGAGGATTTGTGTTTTTAGCCAGTGGCGTACCAATTGATGGTAATTATTTCCTTGGGCAGTTACTGAAAAATGGAATTGTGGGGGCGTGTCTATTTGCAAGAGAGAGAAACGAACTGATTTATGGTTATCTGTTAATAATTATACTTTATTAATAGGAAAATAAACTGATTTTCATTTTCTATAACCATGGACCAATTTTCTTAACCCTAATCCAACACCTTTCAATACAAAAATAAACAGTCCTAAATTGATGCAATCAAAAAGCCTTGTACTTTTATACCTCAAAACAATAATTCTTAATTTAGTTTAATTATCATAACTTCCTGTTCTATAAACGTATAAAATCCCTGAAATTGCTTACTGCCAAATTTTGTACAATACTTATACTCAAAAAATCGTGTACTTAGCCAGAGTAAATACTATCAAAACAATGAACATTTCATCTTAATTGATTTAATTAGAAACCAAAATATCATTTTCTAGACTAAACGGTTAATTCGATTATCCAAACTCTTCACTCTTCAGTGAAGTGCATTGCAATTAACAGTCATTTGAATTAAATTTCTCTATCTATACTAAGCACAAAAATATTTAAAGTCAATTCACTCAAGTTAATAATATTTATGCAATAAAGTTTCATAGTCAATTCACTTCATAGTCATTTCAAAATTGATAAAGTCAAAATAAAACTTGTCACTAGAGTACTTACATTGGTCCTTAAGTTCACTTAATTATTCTAATTTCTTTTGATTATTTAGAGCTCGCACATAATGTTGAACGAATTCAAATGGTCCTTCTTTCACAATTTTCCGTTACTTTTTCAAAGATTCGATTTCACGCGTTTTCCCGAGGCAACAAAATAAAAGAAGCTCTTCGCGAATATCATCCGGACTGACTCATTGGGTACTGTAGACTTAAACTCAAGACTGGACTGAAGACTCAACTGGACTGATGAGACTGGAGTCACTACAGTATCAGAGCTACCAAAACTTTTCACAAAAAAGAGACTAAAGCAAATGAGGTAAGCAAATTCAGCTGAAAGAGGGCAGCTAGTCACGGTTCTTAATTTCATAAACGTCTCCGGAAATTTTATTCCCCCCGTCTTTATATCTCCACGGCTAAATTTCAAAAATTTCATGTTAACAGGTGACCCCATTGGAAGTCTTGGCCTTGCAAATAAATCTGAATGGATGACTGAAACCAATTTTCGCAGTAGCCTTGAACATTTTGGAGAATACACTAAACCTTCTAAAGAAGCACCAGTTCTTTTGATTATTGACAATAACGAATCACATACAAGCCTAGGAGTAGTCAACTTCGCTAAAGACAATCATATAACTTTGCTCACATTTCCCCCCTCATTGCAGCCACAGGTTACAACCGTTAGACCTGGCTGTGCATGGACCTTTCAAAACGCACGTGAAAGTTTCCTAAAAAGAATGGACGCTAGCACACCCCGGCCAGACATTAACAATATATGAATTTGCGGAAATTGTTAATAAAGCATTTTTAAATTCTTTTACTCCTAAAAATATCGTGTCCACATTTGCTTCTAGTAGAAAATATACACTTAATCGCAACGTCTTCAGTTCTGATGACTTCTTGAGTCCATTTGTCACGGATCATGAAGATCCCACAAACACAGATGCAGATAACAGAGTGGGTTCTTCTGGAAATACCTCAAAAATAGATTGCGCCCTTCTACAAGAAAAGATCCCACCTACACAGATTCCGTAGATAACCGAGCGGGTCCCTCTACAAGAACTGAAACTTCACCTCTCCTCTATACAAAACTATCATCAGACCTGCCATCATGACGGCTGCGTATCGTGGACTAAAGAGTGGAAATGAGGAGATAGATTCGAAAGGTTAATACTTAGGAAAATATACGGCCCGACAAAGGACCCACAGACACAGCAATACAGAAGTAGAACGAATTGAACTGAGAGATCTATACTCGACGGCTTAGGTGAGTAGGACACGTGCGTAGGCAACCCGAAGAAACTCTAATAGGACTGGTATGGCAGAAAACCCCAGAGGGGCAAGGCCACTTGGAAAACCCAGACTGAGATGGCGGGACAACATCGATGCGGATCTGAAAAAACTGGGCATCAAAAATGGCACGGAGCTTATGACCTATTGTGTCGGATGAAGACAAGTTATCGCGTCAGCCAAAGCCTAACAGGCGCTGTAACGCTACGGTGTAAGTAAGTGATTTAGTAACACTTTAGCCAGAAAGTTCCATGGAAAGCAAGTTGAAATCTATGCTTAATGAAATTGGGATGTGACAGTGAAATATGAATCATCATTATCACATTATAATATGGATCACCAGCAAAGGTAAGAAAATTTAAAAGAGACGTTGATCGACTCATTGAGGCGAACGATATCTTCTACCAAATACAAACAAAGAAATTATATAAAGTATGACCGCAATGTAATTCCATATAATTGACCTATTCAATAATTGTGTCACGCACTTACCAAGCGTTCCACTGGATGTGACCTTTGGTAAATACTTCAGGAAAGAAAACCAAAGTCACTAAATAAAATGGTAATGTACAAGCGCAATGCAATTTCACTTATAATTGGCTTATGTGAATATCACAACGATAAATAACAATAGTGGGAAGCCTCATGATTTTAAATACTCAAAACAAAACCCTCAAACCGTTAATTGCTTTTTCAGAAACATAATGCCTCGCATAGTGTTCAATAACTTGATTCAAAATAGAATAGAAGTTTCTACAACCAATCAAGATCAGGATTATCATACTTGCTGGGAAGGGCCACACTAATTTCAGATATCAAAATATTTGTTATGCTAACACATTTCCTCTCAAATTCACGTTATAATGTGTATCATATCCAAAATGGCATGAAAAAAATTTGAATTGAAAATTACGGCCATGTATTCAGCTGAGGTTATCTGTGTGGTTTACCCCGTTTTCAAAGACTTTTCCAAAAAAAATAACTAACTGAAGAAATTTATTTGACTAGAGAAAGCAATTAATTTGCTAGAACTCATGGTAAACCTCAACAATCTATCAATACCAATCCATTTTCAGGAGGGGTGATAAATAAATTAAATACGTGTTTGAGTCGTTACTGATCCGCTTTTGCTCTTGATGAATATTTAAATCCAATTAAGAATCAATACGCCCCAGTTCCAATTTCGATCCCGCTTTCGGATAATTATTGACGCTTGAATAATTTATGGTTCTCCAGGAAACAATTGCAAGAGTATTTTATTTATATAGCTTTGACTTGTACTACTAACATGCAATAAATTGACCTCAAGAAAAATCCAGTCGTCGATTAGCTTTCCCAAAACCGGAAACCTGAATCGAAGGAAAAAAAAGGTTAAGAGTCCAAAGAACACGACTCGATAAAACTCTGCTCCGGTTCGCATTATCAAGTAAATAAAATTGCCGAATCCGGCTCAAAAGGTAAAGCAATATATCCTGTCCTAGCCCCCCCAACGTATATATAGAGAGTAACGTCGAAGCCGCTCTTTTTCCCAATTTCTTTGCCATGCAAATCGATCCCCAGACCGGACACCACGTCACATCAGTCGAATTCCCGCGACTCCCGAACATCCCTCGGGATATGCTAATGTCTAGAATCCTATCGGTGTGGCCTAGTCCCAGAGGGCGTCTGGGAATGGTAAAAATAGTTTCGAATGCTGATTTTGTTTGGAAAGTATTTCGATATTATATGGATTGTGGCCTGATTTTAAAAAGAAAAATATTATCACAAAATGTAACTGATATTGTACATTTGAAACGATTCTACAATATTTAATTTCAGTTGAATTTTATAAAATTGCTTGCTATCTGCATAAATTTAAATGCGCGCTTTCAACTAACGATTATCAGTTGGACCATTAAAAGTTCTTTGGAATTCGAATGTCGATATTTAATATCAATTTTCATAATTAAAATGTCGTTTTGTAGGTTATAGTAGTTCCGTTTTACTTTAATGATGTCTTATTCTGGATCGTCACGAAAATTTAATAAATTTTTTCCTTTTTCGAGGTAAAATTTCGTTTTTTCATTAATTTGTTCTTTGGTTTCTTCAACTTCTTTTTGCATATTTTCGTTTACTTTATTGAATTCGTTTTGGGTATGACTTGATAAATCGTTTATATTTTGCTCTACAGCACTTCCTGACGGGAGATTCAATAGAGTATGATTCTCAGGAGCTTCGGGAATAAGGGATCTTACCTAAAAAAAAAAAAAAATGTTGAATAGGTAGGTATATCACAATTAAAAAGAAATTAGGCACACAAAGCAGATTTGGCAACACAATTAACACAAAAACTGGAGGAAGACCCCATAGAACCCACGAAGCAAAAAGTACCTATCATGAAACTAAAGGGTAGGACAGAAAATTTTAGCAAAGAAATGAAAAAAAAAAAAAATGCCGGAGAGGAGATAAAGCAAGGAGAAAAAGGTATACCAGAATACAAAGAGACTAACAAAATAGCCAGATATACTACCGGAAATGCTGGAGGAGGCAGGAAAATACCTTGTAAAACACTTGAAAACACTTTTCGATAAATGTCTAACAGATGGAAAAATACTACACCACTGGGACACTGCCATCGTCGTTCTGATATACAAAAAAGGAGACCCATCAAATCTTGGCACCATTTGTAGCCGTTATTCTTCCTCAGAACACTTGCCACAAAAACTTATTTTAAAGTGCGCCACCGATATTATGATAAAGCTATGCTCAGTCGAGAAGGAGCAGGTTCACTGGCTGTGTGCAATACTCTCACCCTAAACAATAATTTCCAAGTCCAAGTTCAAATAAATAAGTACAACAATTATTAGGTTCAGGTATAGGCAAGCTCAAATATATTTATAGATAAATAACAGGCTCCCTCATTCAGTTCAAAAACAAATAGAATATACAATTTGAATATTTGTAACAATCTACAAGCTTTGGGCAGAGTTGTTATTTGCTAATTGACTGTAGGTAGGTACCTTTATAAAAATATCCTGGCAATTTAAAGAATTGCCCAAGAAAACAGTATCTATAAATGAATTACAGGCAGTGGCCTAGCTAGGTTGTCAACCCAAATTATAAATATATATAAAGTAATTAGGAAAAATATTCCCACAACGGGGTACTTATCCACTTCCCATTTCCAATAAAGAGCAGATTAATCTCCAACCAAACCCTCTGACATTGAAGTGAGGTTGGGGTAGAAAGTCTCAACTAGCTATGTCAGGGACCCCTTTTCCAGTTGAGGTCGACGAAACTGTATCGTTCAGGAGGACTGTATGGCAGGTACCACTGAAGGAGAGCAAACCCCTAGACGAATCCTAGTCAATCCACAAGGTCCAAAAACAGTCCTCAAGTCCTCTCTGGATTATAAGGTACAATACTTCAACCAATTGGTGACCTAAAGTCAAAGATATAGAGAAAAAGGCCCTACAAAATAATGGAAAACACCCTTAGAAGGCGTAACGCCACATTTCACGGTTCCATGTACTTACTTGGTTTTTGTGTGGCCTTCAAGTGAAATTTTTCCCAACGACAGTATGCGAATGATACCAATACACACAGATCCCGCCGATGTGGATTATCAAATCGATAAAATTGATTGGTGTTATAATTAAATAAATTCCCAGATCACACTGGAATTTCCAAACTTTCCTCTCGCTTAGCCGTCGTTCTAGAAAAATTATCCGAACAAAATAGCGTGATTTTCTCACCTCGTCAAGAAAAACGCCAAACGTCAAAATTAGACGATTCTACAAGTCGACGTCAACTTGAGGCAGAATAACGTTCCGGAATACAATTCCACTCCAGAGTACACAATAAACGATTCCTCAGAACGATCACGAATAACCCCTACAACCCTACTACAAATACCCAAAACAAAAGAAACCATCGCGGAAATTCGGAAATCTCTCCAGATCAAAATACTACCCATGGCGACATCTATGAGCGCAATCCAAATTCAGCCTTAAGCGATTTTTCGCGAACCACTGTTCTAGATCTAAAAGAAGAACACAGTATGTACAGTGCACTAGAAAACAAGTCGACCAGAGCACCGGGTGGCAGGTGACACTCGCTCAGCTGTTTCAACAAGTAAACAAACTGAGCCAGAAATGATAGTCAATAATCAAAAAAATGCTTTTCACCATATTATGTTTCTTTCGAGAAATCCAATCGAAGAAATTCAGGAAATACGAGAAATACCCAGAGATATGAACTCTCTAGGGTGAGCAAAACCAATACCAACGTGATGAAAATTAGGAACGTAACAACTCCTCCCTTTCCTCCTCGAGAGAAGAATTTCCATGAAATTATTCTCTCGATTAGATGTCCCACAAACCAACTGAACCGGACCCTATACATCAGGGGGGTTCCGATTTTAAATCCTGAATATGCCAAATACCAACAACCATTTTACCAGTGAGATCTTTAAGCTCACAAGCCAATGGCGAAACCTTCCGATGCATTATGAAAGGACCAACGAACTTGAGTGCCAACTTAGCCGTAAACGCGTTGGCAGCATTGGAGAGTGCATGATTTTTGTGATAGACCCAATTCCCAACAGAAAACTGAACAGGGCGTCTACGCAAGTCGCAGCGATTTTTAGTCGTCTTGAGTTTCTCTTCAATCTTCCTGGCTACGCCCCCTCAATATATTTTCTCGACCGGAATCAGCAAAGTCTGTCGGGTCAGTCCGTAGAATGCCCCTTTTATGACAGTCTCCGGATAGAATGTGCTCCCTACCAAACACTACAAAGAACGGAGTCACTCTTGTAACTTCGTTAATACTGGTGTTGATTGCACATGCAACCTTTCGCAAAAACATCCCAATTTCTCTGTTTATCGGCAACGTAAGAAGCCAACATGTCTTTCACTGTTCGATGTACACGCTCCACTGGATTTGCCTGAGGATGATAAACGGCGTTAAAAAGAATTTTCGTTCTATATTCCTCACCAAGACCTTGAAACTCCCTGCATAATTAAAAATTCTGGGACACCATATTCAAGAAAAACTTACTCTTCCAGAAGGTTGGAAAGCATAGAAGCGGTAGCAGAACGCCTTGGGAAACAATATAACATATTTGGAGAGATAGTCCGACATGGATAAAATGTAACAATAGCCTCGCAAAAGCCCTACTATATCCACGCTTATCATTTGGAATGGTCTGACAACGACCAGTCGATTACCCATCTGTCCAGCTGGAGCTTGATTGAAGCTTTTATGTTTTAAACATACAGAACAACGTACCACATATTTCCGCATGCGTGGCCAATAATATTGAGACTTCAGTCTCCCATAAGGTTTGAAAATTCTACAAGGGGGTGTCACCGTGTAGGATCGTGGAACCCAGCCAAGATATCACGCCTTTTCTCTTTGCGAACCACCTCAAGCCAAACGTCGGATTTGCTACGCAAACCAGGATATTTGCAAAGGACTTGCTTATAAATAATATCATTCTCGACCCTCCAGTCCGGAAATTTTAACGGGTCTCTTAGAATGCACTCTTTATGACGAATGTACCAATTATCCCTGATGTTATTAACAGGAGCGTCTACAGCATCAACAACCGGAACGGATCGTGACAGAAGATCGGGCAAGTGATGGTCCTTGCATTTGCGGTACTTAACTTTAAAGTCAAAACTCTGCAGGCGAAGTGCCCAACAGGCTAGTCTGCCTGAAGGTTCCCTGAGATTATGCAACCAAATCAAGGAGTGATGATCAGTTACCACTGTAAACTTATACTCTTCTAGATAAGGTCTTAAGAGTTCAATAGCTCAAATGATGGCGAAAAGCTGCCTCTCTATCGCTAAATAATTCCTCTCGGTCGACCGTGGTCGAAAAATTAGGAATAAAACGGCGATAATAACTAGCTGTGCCAATTACCCTCCTAACCTCAGTAAAAAAAAGTTGAGTAGCGCTAAGTGGTATCACCACGTTCCGCTACTGCGCTGGCAGTCCGGTTCCAACAATGAGTAACAGATAGCATGATGGCGCCTCCAGGATCAAAATATTCCGGAGGTAAAATACCCGACCACTCGGATCTCCGGGCGTCGGGTGATCCTGGGGGTCCTTCATGCAAAGATATAAAGAGAAGATCAAAAACTCAACTCAGAATTGATTTTAGCAATATAAGAGGAATAAGTACAAATATGAATTCAGTTCACCAACATCTTGAAGAACAAAGACCTGACATCCTTGTTCTCACTGAAACTAAAATCAGTTCTGCAACACCTATTGTGAACTATCTTTATCCCGGCTATGACCTACACCACCGATTTCGACATAATTTTGGGATCTGTGTGTACATTAAAAATGACCTTTCATGTCATCGAGAGGAGAAGCTAGAACCAGCGAACCTTGATATCATATGGCTAAAATTCACCTCAAAGTCATCGACCAAGTTTATCTGCTGCCTCTACCGACCGCCAAGTAACACCGATTACCAAAACTTTTTCGCGACATTATCCGAAAGCTGTGATAGTATACAGTCAAACTATCCACAGGCGGAAATTGTCTTTTTAGGCGATTTCAACGTCCACAATATACCCTGGCTGAAACACCACAACAAAACAGATAACGAAGGCAGAGAAGCAGAAGCTTTTGCCATAAGTTGTGGTCTAACGCAGCTTGTCGATGAACCTACCTGTATCTCAGAAAGGGGCGAATTTGCAGCGCTTTTAGACTTGTTCCTAACCACCAATCCTGACTCGTACACAATTCAAGTAGATGCTCCACTTGGTTCGTCCGATCATAAACTTATAATAACAAAGTGCGAAATGCTCATCCCACCAAGCCTACAACCACTTCCTCGTAAAATGTGGCACTATAAATCGGCAAAATGGAATGACCTAAAACAGTATTACCTGGATTTTCCATGGCAAGAGGTTTGCTTTAAAACAGCTGATCCCACTATTTGCTGTAATGAAATAACACAAGTAATCTTATCTGGAATGGACGCATATATCCCACATACAACTAAACGTAGAGCTAATGCAAAACCTTGGTTCAACAGCCAGTGTCAAACGGCTGTACAGAAAAAACACAGAGCATATAACCTTTGGAAACGACAACAAACCGCTCAAAACCACACAGAATTTATAGAAGCCAGAAATAGTTGCAAAATTACTATTGACTCCGCTAAAGAAACATACAATCAAAGAATAAAAAATAGGTTGCTGAATTGTCCAAGTAGTTCTAGGTCTTTTTGGTCTCT